AGACTTGACTTCATAATAATGTATCAACATCGTTCATCAACTGCAACAAATGTCCCACCAAATGCAAGATGTTAATAATAGGAGAACTATGGGGCGGGGGGTATATATGGGAACTCTGTACTTTCTGCACAATTTTTCTGTAAACCTAATTGCTCTAAAAAATAAAGTCTATTAAAAAAGAAAAAAGTTGAGGGGAAAATGTTTGTGGAATGATTAATGAATGATCAATACAAACCTACCTTTTTTCCTTTTTTTTATTGCAGTGAAATCCACATAAAATTAACCATTTTAAAGTGTACAATTCAGTGACATTTAGTACATTCACACTGTTATGCAGCCATCACCTCTACCTAGTTCCAAAACATTTCATCACCCCAAAGACGACCTTGTCCCCACTAAGCAGTCTTTCCCCATTCTCCTCTCACCCCAGTCCCTGGCAATCATTAACCTGCTTTCTGTCTCTCTGGATTTACCTATTCGGGATATTTCATATAAATGGCATCATATAACAAGTGGCCTTTTGTGTCTGACTTCTTTCACGTAGCATACCATTTTCGAGATTCGCCCACGCTGTAATGTGCATTAGTTAATTCCTTCTTATGGATGGGTAATATTCCATCATATGGATACACCACATTTGGTTTACCCACTCATCTGCTGACGGACATTTAGGTTGTTTCCACCTTTTTGCCACTGTGCCTCGTGTGTGCTGTGAGCATGCGTATCCACATACTTGTTTGTCTCTAACTTACCCTCTAGGGGACCCTCCACGTATCTCGTGGGAAGTTACGCTAATCTGTGGTACTCAGTGTATTCCAGCTGATATTTCAGAAGGACTTATTGAAAAGAATTTGTACTTTTTTGTGTTCATTTATTGTGTGATAGAGCCAAAGTAGAAAAATGTGGGCCTGGGGGTCCTGCCGCTTTGGGACCACACAAGGAGAAGAGGAGGAAGTGTTTCTGGGAATAGGGGAGAGTGGGGGATCTTGAAAGGTCAGCCATTTCATTTAAGGGCCTTGGTCAGTCCTCTGGAGTCATTCTCTTTAGCTATCCTAAACATACGTGCATAGTTAACATGTCTTCTTTATACTCAACTTTGTGTGTTTCTTTCAAACTCTTATTCACTGTGAACATAACCCAAAAGCTGGTCTCTATTAAGTGATTCAGTTAGAACTTTTCCTTGTGAATTACATCTCTTTATGAGGATAGTATCCAAATCCTACTAATGTCTTAATAAAGCATCTCCATCTCTTCAACAGAAACCACAAAAAGATAAAATGAGATAAATGAGAGCATGCATTCTAAACATTAAGGTCAGCTCAGATTTTAAGTGCACATACATTTTTAAACAATAATTAGAAAATTAAAATAATCATCTAGACAAATTTCATTTTAAACTTATAACATGCATAAACATTCCAAACATCTTAATCAAATAACAATGCATCAGTTGGACTAGAGTAGATTGAAAGAAATATAAACCCCACACTTTTTTCTCTTACATAAAAATCTAGAGATAGGTAGCCTGGAGTTGGTATGGTGACTGCTCCTTAATGTCCTCAGCCACCAAGGCTCCTTTCTGCTCACCACTCAGCTATCCCTACAGTGTGGCCTTTATCCTCACAGCTCAAGATAGCAGCTAGAGCTCCAGCCATCACATCCACATTCCAGTCAGCAAGATGAAGGAAGGGACAAATGGATGAAGAGCAAAAAACAGCTGCCTTTTAAGGCAAGTTCTCAGCAGCTGCCAAATGATTCTGCTGCTGACATCTTATTGACAGGACTTAGACATATGACCACATCTAGCTACAAGTTGAGGCTTGGGCAAATAGACTACATTCTGTGAGACACAACTGTACCCAGTTCCAAATCAAGGCTTCTATTACTAGGGAAAAAGAGAATGGATATTTGAGGACAATGAGTAGGGTGTGCCACAAAGCCAAATTGACAAAGCTGACCTCAAATTCTACCCTTCTTGTGGCATACGTAACATGCTGAATCCTAAAAACCTGCCCCTAGAATCTGGGAGGAGGAGAAGAGATTCCCATTGGAACATTGCAGACACAAGAGGGTGCCCAGTGAGCCCTACCACGGCCTCCTCCTGGAAGAGGATGAAGGGACCGGGGACTGGGGTGGAACTGGGGTTGACATGTCAGCCCCCCCACCATCGGCTCAAAAGAGCAGCCCGAGACCGGGATCCTGCTACTGAAAAGAGGAGCCAGAGACGAGATAGAGAAGTGAAGACAGAACTAAGAAGAGAGGGGTAGTTCCATTAGCAACGAAGAACCAACCAGGTGAGAGTTGAAAGGAATTTACCTAGGCTTTAGTGCAAAAACCAATATTCTCAAACACACAGAGAGATACAGACAAGAATTTGGAAAACAGAGAGAAGAAACAATATCAGCCATAGTTCTGTCAACCATACACCACTTCTGGCATATTTCTTTCTGGCTTTTTGCTTTCCTTTGAGAGGTATTTGTTTTTGTTTTGTTTTAAGCATAGTTACTGTAAAAAGTGTACTGCTACATTATTTCGAGCTCTTTTTTTTGGCAAGGAAGATTGGCCCTGAGCTAACATCTGTGCCAATCTTTCCTCTATTTTTTTTTTTTGGTATGTGCGTTGCTACCACAGTGTGACTTCACGAGTGCTGTAGGTCTGCACCTGGGATCCGAACTTGCGAACCCGGGCCGGCTAAGCGGAGCGCACGAACTTAACCACTACGCCACCGGGCTGGACCTCCAGCTCTTTCTTTTACACGTAACATCAATATATGAGCATCCTTCACATTACGTCATTCTCTGTCAAGGCCATATTGTGAACCGGGTAAGCCTTTGGGCCCTGAAGCAGCTTTCTTCATGGCTTGAGTCTCTGTCCGAGTGTGGGGTAACCATGGGTGAGCTACTGGGCTGAGCATCACTTTGCTCACTCTCTTCATCTATGAAATGACAAGAAATAGTAATGAGGACAATACCACTACCTCACAGAGCTCTTTTGAGGATTAAATGAGATAATTCATGTAATGGGCTAATAACAGCTCCATGTAAGCTCTTATTGTTTGTATATATAATTTTAGTGGCTACATAAAATTCCCAACAGTGGACACCTCATCCTAACCATGCCCCTATTACTGAACACTTGGTTAATTCTGTTTGGGGCTATTACTAGGTCAGAAACAATTCAGTGCATTTATCTCTTTTATATTTAGAACTATTACTTAAATTAGTATCTTAAGAGTCTTCATCTATATTTTAGAACATTTTATTTAAGCTAGATTGTGGACATACGGGGATTCATTATATTCTTACCTATATATAATTCTCTTTAACATTTCATTACAAAAATTATACTCAATGAAAAAGAATAAGACAAACATTTAGTAATCAAATGTTCATATACAAAAATGGCAAAGAAGGAGTCATAGACTCCACTATTAAAGTGAGGGAAATAACTTACTTGCCTGAGAAGTGACTAAATGACAAAGATGGGGCCCTCAAGGCTCTTCCCACTTTACCCACAGTCATCTGCCGGCTTACCACCCACCACTGCTCACGCTCACCCACGCCAGCTAGAACTTATGCCCCAGGTTCCTAAAACACGACTTGTATTTCCCATCTGTCCCTCCACTTGATTGTTTCCTCTCCTGCAACATATTCTCTGCTCCATCTCAACCTGCCAAGATCCTACCAGCTGTTCAAGGTTTGTTCAACCTTTCCGAAAGAACTCCCCCGTGAGAGCGTGGTGTAGTAACAACAGCTACACTCACTGGGCAGCACCGAGGCCACCCCAGAGCCTCTTGTGGGATGTGACCACACAGGCTCCCTCATCTCACCCTCCGGACAGTTCTGTGAAGTGGCCAAGGACGGCAAGGCCTCATCCCTCCTGTTTGTCAGCCTGAGCGTGGAACCACAACCCCTCTTTACTCCACCCCACACCCCTTGCCAGTGAGCAAAACACACAAGCAAACACTCAGCACCTTCTCTTTGGGACCTGGCGGTTGACCGATGGTTGGTGTTAACAAAGATAATGTAATCCAAAGACAAACAAAAGAGACAAAAGTGCGCAGATTGCTCTCAAACAGTTTTCCTCTGTAATGACTAACACAGGGTTCTGGTCCATGAGTCCAGGTGTGTACATCATTCCTGCCGGCACTCCTCAGGAACATGAAATTCAAAGACACACTCAGGAGTCCCACACTCATTAACACAACAATAGCAAAAGAACTTGTAAAGTAGAGATAACCACTTCTGAATGGTCGGAAAATGGCTCCTTCCATGCTCTGCAGCCTTCTTCCGGTGATCATGGCAAAACACACACAAACATACACAGAGACACACGCCACTTAAAACCAACTTTAAAAAATACAAAAATAAATAAATTAAAAAGCCTTCAAGAGATATTTTAAACAACGGTATCCTTTCAGGCCATGCCATCAAATTCCAGAAAGGTTTACCTCATGAGCTGTACAATGCCAGGTGAGTCCTAGATTGACAAGCAACCTCCAATCATAAAGCCACTGTATGGACTGAATGTTTGTGCCCTCCACCCCCAAAACTCATAGGTTGAAATCCTAACCCCCAGTGTGATGGTCTTAGGAAGTGAGGCCTTTAGGAGGTGATCAGCCCACGAGGGTGGGGCCCTCATGAACAGAATTAGTGCCCTTAGGAGAAGAGACACAGGAGAGCTCGCTTCCTGTCTTTGCTCTTCCTCATGTGAGGACACGAGAAGACAGCCATCTGCAAACTGGAAGCAGGTCCTCACCAGACACTAGGCCTGCCAGCACCTTGCTCTTGAACTTCCCAGTCTCTAGAACTGTTCAGTCTATGGTACTTGGTCATAGCAGCCTGAACAGACTAACACAGCCACCCTGTCTGACATTCAGATCTCGTGTACATCGAAAACTTTGCAAGGCAATACACAAAGTTTTAGTTGACTGTGCTTGTTTCTGGTAGGTGAGATTATAGGTGGTGGTTATGTTCTGATTTCATTGTTCTGTATTTTGATTTCACTTTCTACATGGAGTATGGATACCCACAGGCTAATTCACTCTCTGACTGCAAGCGCTCTAAGTGCTTATCTTTAGCTCTGGTTTACTTGATTGTTACGATGGAAGGCAACATACTCCAGAGGTGCCCAAGTCAGCCAGGACTTGGTTTTTCAAGTTTCCAAGCCATTTCCTTCTCAACACTGACCTGGCCCAACACAGGGGCCAATACCTCCACCTCAGAAGCTGTAGTTTGAACACCCCTTCCCACCAAGCATTCCGCACAGGTCACTTCAGCATGGCCAGGACCTCATCTCACCCACACCACACATACACACTTGCAAACCCCACTCTGGCTAGTGATGGAGGGAGACTGTAGGGCTAAGGAGGGCGGTGGTCTTTTCATTTGCAAGAGAGGATGAGCTTCTTCCTCAGAGTGTGCTGCAGCCAGACGTAGTACCTCTCCTTATCAGACACTCTGCTGTTCCAATCATACACGCGGCTGTGGAGCTCGATGTGCAGTTCCAGGAGGGGGCGTCTTCTGGAGGGAAGGAGAAAGGGACAAATTTATGTCATGCAGATATCAGAGAGAGGAGACAGATTGTCACTGGGGTGACACGAGCCAACAGATGTGAAAATGCTTTGAAACTGTTCCTTTCTAAATGCTCCACAAGCCGCTTGGTGAGTGATCCAAATCAGCTTGAGCACACTGGCCCAACGACCAGTCCCCTCCCCCAGGGGCCACTGAGTGTTACTCTGGGGACACACCAGCCACACGACAACCCACCTGGATCGTCTGTGCAAGTGTAGGGTGCATGTAGAAGGCCAATGATACCGCTGGCCTGTGGAGCGCTGGCTGCCCTGGGAGGCTGAGACCCCTGCTCCCGCCTCCCTGCACTGCTGAGCCACCACTGAGGGGGCTCTGGGGCGCAGGCCAGGAGACTGATTCCTGGGGTCCCCAGAGCTACACGTGGCTCAGAAACATCATTCTAAATTGTAATTAGAGGGCAGGAGAAAAAGGACTGCTAATCTTACATTTGAGGTAGAGGGTGGCTCCATTCAGCCTAAACGGAAACCAGGTTACCAAGGTTTCCCTTAGAAAAGTATTCTTGCCAATAAACATCAAAATGTCTATATAATGAAGACTTGCAGACCTGAACAGGTACCACTTTTCACCTATCAAATTGTCAAGACTTGGGGAAATAAAAGAGCAGGCAGCGTCGGTGAGAATCATCGTCAGGGACGCAGGCATGCCCATACAAAGCTGGACTAGCTGTCCTGGGGGCGTCCGATAAGATGCATCCAGGGCTTTAAAAACACATGCTGCTTGACACAGTAATCCCACCTCTGGGAATTTTCCCCAAGGAAACAATTATGGATAAACACAAAGATAAAGACGCTGAACACTTTCTTTTTGTGAAAGCAAAACACTGTCCAATGAGTGAAGGTTGGTGAAGTAAAGGATGCTGTAGCCATTTGATGGGCTTCTCTGCGGACATTAAAATGATGCTGTGGAAATGTGACTACAGACATGTAACAATGTATGTGATGCACTGTTACAGACTAAAAGCAGGTTATAAAGTAATAGGAGGTGATGATTCCATTCTGGTTTACAAAGCGTATTTATATATGATTGCGTGGGTATCCAAAAAAGACACGGAAGGCAGTACACCAAGGTTTGGTTAAGAGGTTGGTTCTAATAAGAAGGATTATAAGATTATAATTGCTTGTTATGTTCTGTTTTCAGCATCTATATTTCACGGTATTTTTCAATAAGGAGTATTGCTATTGTAATAAGAAAAAAAAAACAATTAAAAATGTCTTAATTTTGAAGAAAAATACCCAAACTACAAGCTGACTAGTAAGTGACCTCCTGAAGCACCAAGCGTTCCTAAGTGTGCAGGGTCTCTATCTTACTCCTGGGAACCCAGCAGGGAACGAAAACTCGTCCTTCCTCCCGGAAGAGAAGGGCATCAAGCATGGCACAGTAGGAACCTCCTTGTGGCAGGAGAACAAACAAGTGGTCCAGGGCCGCCCAGCCGGGGTGGCTCACCTCTCTTGCCGCAGTTTCTGGGAGAGACACTGCAGGTACACCGACGCGGGGCTGCTGGGCCGCTCCAGCAAGGACACATCGGCTCGGCACAGGCTCCAGAGGATGTCAGCCTCTCGGTGCACCGTACAGGGCCCAGGCGGCCTTGTCTTAGAATCCACATTTTTCACTGCTGGCCCATCCACCTCCAGGTTGCTGCTGTCCTCCAGCTGGCCCTCTGACACCACATAGTTCTGAATAAAAAAGAGCTTTGGCTTCCCCAAGAGAGAAGGGCATGCGTCTGCCATGAACATCCTCCTGATCTGATCCAAGGGGAAGCCTGAGTGCGTCGGATCCACGCCAAACACGCTCTGGGAGCCCCCCCGGCTCACCAGGACACACACGAAGCTGTCGTAGTCTTGGTGCTGGGGCATCCGGGCAACTCGGCGAAGAATGTGGATTATACCGTCCACACTCAGATACAGGAAATGCTGGACTTCATAGCCCAGCGAGGTGAAGGTGTCTCGAAGAGCCCCTGGAAGAAACCAGGCCAAGTGAGAAAAGCTGAGGCCCTGGGCAGAACCCCAAGCACGGTCGGGTCTCTGTCACCATCTGTTTCTGCTGTTGTGTCATATTTTGAGGCTTTGAAGGACCCGAGAACAGGATGGGAGGCCTCGAATCAACCTGAATCATGAAATGTGTGACTGCACATCCCAGGTTCCCGGTTATGGTCTGTCCCGTCACACCCTGCCTTCCTGAGGCCGCCCCCACACCTGGCCACAGGCACAGGTTGAGCCCACTTCCAGGGCAATCCAACCAAGGGGGAGCTTTTTCTTCAACCAAAGCTTTTCTCTCCAACCAAAGCAAAGCTGGGGATCATTCAGAGGGCTCTTCCTTAAAATAACACCCGAGTACATAGGAACAGATGCATCTGCAGAGCACAGATCCAGTTCTGGGTCCAAAGAGCTGCAGAAAGGGTGGCACAGGTCAGGGGTTCCCTCACCTCCACCTGCTGTGGGCTGAGACGGAGGCCCCTGGATCTCAGCTGGGGCCATTTCCAGACTCCCCAGTTCCTCTTGTGACCTGCTTCCCAGTGTAACCTCTGATTGAGCAGGGGGAACAGTGGGCCAAGATTCCCTTCAGGGCCCCCAAAGATTCTCCTCCTAGTTTCCAGGAATCCTGGATTGGCTTTGCCTGGAGAAGCAGCGTCAGGCGGTGGAAAAAGCAGACTTTACGCCAGACAAGCCTGCCTCCCAACACTGACCTCACCACACCCATGGGCTGCCATGACCTTGAGGAAGCGGGTCTCCCTAGCTTTAAATGGAAGTGATGATCCCCACCCGATGAGAACGCTGTGAGGATTAAATGAGATCATACAAATAGAGCTCCCGGTACTCAATAAAAATTAGTTCCTATTCCCTTTTTAAAATCTGTCAGAAAGGAGTGGGGAGATAAATAACTGAAGGTACCACATCACTGTTTACTATAAATTCTCAATCCTCTGCACTAAGTGGGAACAAGATGAAGTCTGGATAGTCACAAATAATTCAGAAACTCACAGCTTCAACCAGTAGTTTCAACCTCCTTGCCCTGCAAACTTTACCAACCTCTAATAAACTATAAAAGTGAAAGTAAACAATTGCAATTTCTCTTCTGGTTTCTTTGCAGGAAATAGGAAAAAGGTAAAAGCCAGGAAAGGAAACACAGCCTTGGGTAAACAAAAAGCTGGAATAACTAGCCACGGGACAAGTAAGAGCTGGCCTGAGTGCTCTGAATTGAACTCCCCACCTATGAGCGGTATCTGTGCACATTCACACAGGGTCACTCGGAGACCTGGGTTTAACTGGGGCCCCACATCCTACCAGAGAGAGCGGTTTTGAATACGTCCACGAATTCCTTGACACTCCTCCCTTAAAAAGATAAGAGTGTAATCCCTCCCCTTGAATGTGACCACACTTGGTAACTCACTCCTAGTGAGTGGAATGTGGCAGAAGGAATACTATGTGACTTGCAAAGCCAGATGACAAAAAGGATACAGGTTCCCCGTGGCTCTTTCCCTCTTTTGAACAGCCCACTGGGGGCAGCCAGGTGCCACGTGGTCCAACAGTCCTGTGGGGGCCCACAGGAAGAACTAAGACCTCACACCACCTTCCCAGCCACAGGAGTGAGCAACTGGAGAAGACCCTCCAGTCCCAACCAAGCCTTCGGACGAGCCCAGCTGACATGTGACCACACCTCCTGAGAGGCTCCGGGCCAGAAGAGCCCAGCCAAGCCACTCTTAAATGCCTGACCACAGAAGCAGTGAGAGAGAAATACATTAGTAATGTTGTTTTAAGCCACTGAATTTTGGAGTGATTTATACACAGTATTAGATAAATAATTCACCACCTAAGTCCAGAAAAGGGAATGATAATCACCACGACTTGAGACCGCAGTTAGGCTACTTACTTCTCTCCTCTGCCTGACCCACAGGAAGGGTGAAAACAATGAATTACGCACCATATAACAGTGAAGAGATATAAAGAACATGCCAATCTCCTTAAAACCTATGATAAATAAGGATTCCCAGGGAAATGATACAAGGTTGCTGATAACCCAGTAAATAACTCACCTGTCCTCACAGGATCGCAGTGCAGTAGAAAAGGCCCAGCAGCATTGCTCCCCTGGCCATCGCCCTGGGGGTGTAGGCAAGGCCTCGGTCCCCAGGACTGTGCTCGGACTGAAACCCAGAACTGCACAACGATAGAACCTGGACTCGGACCCCAGTTCCATCACTACTGTTTGATTCCAAACTCACTTTCAGGACTGACGGGTCTCTAACCATGGGGTATTCTCTCCTCCAGGGGAGAGAGGCAGCCAGGCAGACACCAGACTCAAAGCTCTCGTTCACTTATTGTCTCAGCCTGTTCACTTCCCTCAAGACGCTCTCTTCACTGACAGATTTCCTCCCTCACCAAAGTCCTTGTAAGAAAGCCACAGTCTCCCTCTCCATGCTCATGTGACACGCAAGGGTGTGGACAGAACAAATGCTGTCCTGTGGTTTCCATCTCTTTCCATGTAGGTCACATGGCAGTGAGCAGGCAGCTGTGTGGTGCTGGGCAACAGAGGAACCACAAGATCTGAGTTTAAGTCCTGGCTCCTCCACCAGCATGCTGGGTCGGACCTTGCCCGGTCCTGCAAGAGGACTAACTCACGCCCGCAGAGGGGCTAAGAAGGGGATGGGAATCTGAGGTCTGGGGCAGGAAGTCCTTACCGAATAGAACAGGAGGAAAAAGGCTAAAGCTGCTGGTGAAGCCAAAAACCATACAGGCCCCCAATGCCCAGAATAAGGCCAAGAAGAACCAAATCCGGATGGGCCCCAGTCCAAGAAGGAGCAGCCCTCTGGCAACACAGTCGCTCAAGAGACACAGCCTGAAGTCGTCACAGCCGACATCTCCCACTAATACCCCGCCCTTGCTCTACCACATGGGGAGGGTTGATGCTAGCTGCATTTGCAACTTTCTCTCTTGGGCCAACAAGAACTTAGAGACAGCCCAGTCTAATTTATAGGGTCAAGGGGATGGGGACAGTGTGACTGTGAACAAGTTACAGCCTTAGTTTATTCATCTATAAAATGGGATTAATACTAATGCCTACACCGTGTTCTTCAAAAGGTGGCTGTGAGGATCCGGTGAATGGGATTTCCATATAGATGCTCTGCAAATTGTGAGTATTTATTCAAATATAAGACATTGATTTTAAAGAAAATAAAGGCAGCCATTTCACACCACAAATAATGGAACCTGTGGTGTCTCTCTCCTGGAGCCTACCCAAAACAGGCTCACAGCAGTCAGATTCTGCATCCATGTATCACAGTGACTTCCTTGTCCTTTCCCACAAATAGGGGAAGAAAAACCTCGGTGCTGAGTTTGGGAAATAAAACTTCAACGAATTGCAAAAGTCCCACTTCTCCTTCTACTCCCCCTGGAAACTCCCACTCCCGACCCAGCCATATCTCTGCACACTGTTCTTCAGAAATCGACCTCCTGAAACGAGAAGGGTTTCCTTCAGTTAGAACCGGGGTGTTAGTGAAGGGCTGGGTCAGCTCTACCCACAGGTTTGGGGACTATCAAGATGAAGCCCCAAAACTAAATACAGTAAAATGTGATGACCTCATTAATCTGAATCTGTTTTGGTCTAAAATGAGCGCACATTTATCTTGACACTATCTGTGAAAAGGGGTCCATTAAACACAAGTCTGGACTGAACACGAACAAGGGAAGGCTTCCCCGGTCTGTTGACACACATTGAGCACCTTTAACAAGCCCCACTCTAACTACTATAAAGCACATGGGTGGAACACAAGTGCAGCAGGATAATCTTAGCGGCCAGGGGAGTTCCGAGGTCAAACGTGAATGGGAAATTCAGTCAGAGAAGATCAGTGCGGTTTCCGACACCTGGAGATGAGATGATCAGAAAGGTATAATTTAAGCTGGGGCCTGAAAAAACAGGGCAAAAAAAGGCCCCCAGATGGGGAGATGATGGTAAACAACAACAGACAGAAGAGTGAGCGAGGACGTGGGTGGTGGGGCAGCCTTGTATGAATCCAGCTTTCCATCTGTGCAGACAAACCAACCAAGGGAGTTTTACTGGACAATCCATACACACTCGAAATTATAAACTACTGTTTAAATGTCTTCTTTTTAAGCACAAATGATTACTAGTAATTCATTCTGGACTAGCTTTTCTTAGGAGAAAATAATATCAATAATAAACATGTCAATTGCATATCAAGAGAGGCTTCTGGGTACCTCAGGCAGCCTACAAGTACTCTCTCCTTCCATATACCCACAACTCCTTATCCACAATTCCAAACTCCCAAAACTCTGAAAACCATAAGCTCTTTTCCCCAACTCATTTTGTGGCAAAACCTTTCCTGAACTGATGAGAGGCTATTTACAGTCTTTATCTACCCCAGGTAGTGTGAATATCCACTCCTTTTGGAGTGCCGCACTAGACCCCACTGGAGTGTTCTACAAATTACAGCATATGTACCATGTCATCTGTCTAAACTCTTAGAACTTCTAAATTCTGAAATACAAGGGTCTCCAATAAGCGACTGTGGACCTCCAACTCTTATTTAGACCCTAGATTTATGCTGTCTGTTAAAAAAGGGTTTGCTATGTAGCATAGCCTGTGGGTGACTGAGTTGAAGGGAAGTTTCATTAGTGATGCTAGGTTCCCAACTGAATGGCTGCTTAGTCTCAGAGGGTAAAAATGCCCAGGAAAAAAAGTGCCTACCACAGATTTCCTGCTCTTTTGCCCTAGGAGGAAGCCAACTTTAATAGACATTGATCCCAGGAGAGCAAGGAGGGGACGCTGCGCTTCCTCGGCACTGAAGCTGGCAGGCAGCCTGTGGCTGCTGCTCCATCTGACAAGGCCTCCAGCTACCATCTCAGATGTCACTCGCCGCTTGTCTTCACAGCTCCGGAGCAGCGACCACAGTGGCTGCTCTGATTCTCTGTGAAGATATTTTCCTACAGATGTTAGTACAGGAAAATGCTACTGATTTGGGTTGCTGCCCATTCCACTAAGGGAAAAAGTGGGAAAGAGGCCAGGTAACCCTGAGGGGCAGCCAAGCTCCGAGGCGTCTCCACTATCTGCTTCTGGCTGTTACGACTTCTGTGGCTCTACTGGAAGAGAAGGTTTACTTCCGCAAGATTTACGATGGTAAATCGGCAGCGTCTGCTAGAAAATTCTGAGTCTTAGCCTGGTTAAAAAGCACAAAAAATCTTCAAGTTTTTCAGGAAGAGCAAGGGAGAAAAGAGAGGAATAAACACTTCCTCTGAAAATCTGCAAACACCATCTTTTATTCAGGAGCCTAAAAGCCCAGTCAGAGCTTTAGGTCAAGGCCCAGCCCATCTGTCTGAGATGTAAGACATTCGCTTCCCCGTTCCTAACAGGATCAAAAGTCCAGCGCTACTTCAGGGCACGCGAAGCAGGGCCTAGCACAGGCCTAGCCTTGCTAGGTTACTGACACAGACAGCCCAACACCGAGGACTTATTTTTTAATTCTACCAAACTGAGATAATTAGCCCCAAATCCTTAAGCCTCTCTGTCTGCTCCAAGAGGTTACTGACCTCAAACAAGCCACCAAAGAATAACCTTATCTTTGTCCACAATGTGGCTCCAAGACCAGACCGTACCTCGTTGACTCCACATTTGCTTCACACAGGGCCGAGCATGGTGTTTGCACATAGAAGGTGCTCAGTAAACATTTATGGGATGAAGAAAGAGTAAACCTATAAATGTTTGGGGAACTTGCACACTCTTTGGATAAAAGACTAATTTTTTTGAGGACAGAAGAAGAGAGGTATAAGAGAGTCTGCTAAATTCTACAGATACAAAGGTATGGTCTGAGAAACACTGAGACCACAGAGCTTATTCCTCACTCACTCACCTGACGAACACTTCTGGAGCTCCTCTGCACCGGGCGCTGCTCTAGGGACTCTGCAGACACAGAGTAAGGAGATGGGCAAGCTCCCCACCCTCACAGAAACTACGTTACAGCAAAGGAGCTGAGGCAGAGGCTCTGGAGCCACGCTTTCAAACCCCACTCTATCAGTTACAGGGAAGTTAGGAAGGGAGTTCACTGGGCTCTGCGAGCCCACCCTGAAAATGGGAATAACAGTACCTATCTTACAATACTATTTATGAAGTTTAAGTGAGAATCCATGTAAAGGAATTAGCAAAGTACCTGGCACATATGGATTTTTAATAAATTTGACTCTCTGATCACTACCACCCCCAAGTTAGTCCTATCATATTACTGTCTGTTTCTTTCAGAGCCCCGTTTCAGTTGTCAGTAATGTTCATTACCAGACTCCTGCCCTCCTCCCAAATGTTCAACATGAACCAAATGACAGAGTTCATGAGGCAAGAGACAAAGGAAACACCACACAACCACTCGAGATGCAGCCCGCATGCTGTTAAGATGGACATAAGAAACGAAGAGTGCTGTCAGTAATGAAGACCACTGTCAACCAAAGCAGGATTCCAGGCCTGGGGTCCCCAGGAAAAACTGGCCAGAGAGGAGTTGGCAAATGAAGAGCTGGAGGCCTAAAGAGAGCGTGAGAGGAGGAGACTGTCTTCCACTTCATATTAATTAAGGCTCTCCTGCTGCACTGAGTCTCATCTGGGCATGTGAATGGCTTCAGGACCCCTTAGCTGAGAAAAGCCACGACACGATGAGCCTGTCAACTGGCCACCTGAGCCCGAGGGGTTGTCTGAGTAGTTCAAGCCCAGTTATTTGTTTTGTTCCTAGAGGCTTGGAGGGCTTGAGTCAAGGAAGATGTACAAATGCACCTGAGGCCAATACCTACTCGTTTCTCAGGCCAAAGACAGGTGCTCCAGGCTCCTCCTCTAATTCCACCCTCCTTTCCATCTTTCTCTCCTACCAGGTCTTGCCACTCCCTGCCCTCCCTCACCCTGGTTTTTGTACTCTGATTCTCTTTCTCCACCAAACCCATTCATAATGATGACTGGTAGGAGTGGCCTGCCCAGCTTTCCACCTGGGTATTTCCCCAGAAGTTACCCGGCTCGGGTAATCCCCTCCATTCCAGTTAGCCCCAGCCTGTGGGGACATGCCCGTCTCCCCCGAGCCCAGCGCAGGCCTCAGGTCCCCAGTTCTCTTGTCCCGCACTTGTCTGGGATCAGACCCCATGTGCCAAGCACAAAGCCATGGCAAGTTCTCGCTTAGAAGTTTGCAAGTAAAATTAAACAAAGCGGAAAAATGTTAGCTGACATTTATACATGCTTACAGTGTGCCAGGCACTGCTCTAAGCCCTTGACAAGTCTGAACTCACTCTCCCACCCTCCCTATGAGGTAGGAGTGGTTATTAACACTTTTTACAGAGGAAAAACTGAGCCATAGAGAGGCTAGGAAAATTGACCAGGGCTACAAGTGAGGACATGGCAGAACCATGATTCAAACTCATTCAGTCATATTCCAGGGCCCAACTCTGACCAGGCTCCTGTAATGCAGAAAAACACAAATATACATTCTGGCCCTGCCCACGAGGCCCACAACTCAGCAAGCAAAGCAAGCACAAACTCTGGGTTTTAGCCACAAATTCACAGCAGGTCAAGCCTTTATGTTTATGATTCTCTTCATACAACAGACATACACCCTGCACCACATGCAGCTGGGTGAATGAGGCAGAAGTGATGACAACCAAAAGTAGAGAACAATGATACAATCTATTTTAAAGCAGGAAGTTACTCACTGAGAAAATATTTCCTCATTCTTATATGGCTACTAATGGCTAAAAAAGAAAGGACACTTATCTGTAGCTGAGGAGATAGCATCTCTCACATCTAACCAAAAATAGGACATGAGAAAGTGAGATCATATTTGAAATCCTGGGAAATTCAGCCTAATATCTGCTAATTTGACCTTCTCTCAGATCCTCTTCTCATAAAACTCACCATGGTAACATTTTAAGTGAGCCTAAAAGATGTTCTGGCTCATTCTAAGAGAATGTTGAGAAGCTGGAAAACTGTGGAAATATGACGATCATTCCTTTCGAGGAAGAGATAAATAATTAAACATAATGTTACACTACTTATCTAGATTCTTCTCATTCTCTTCTACTGCGTCACCAGTGACTTGATTCAGTTTGAGTCAGATATCCAACAATTGAGCAAAAGAATAAATTCAGATCCAAACAATGGTGACACACAAGTAGACGCAGGCCAACAGCCAAAGTACAGATGGCAGAACTAAGGGACACACTGCCTCAAAGTGAGCACACATTTATCATATTTTTAATGTTCCCCAGAAAAGCTTTCAGTCTATCTTGGTGGGGAAATGATGCGCATCTGATAATATTGAAGCAGAAAGCCTTCCATTTTAAACCTTCCTCTGGATCCCAGGACTCCCCTCAGCCGCAGCATCCAGCACAGAAAGGCAAGACTAAAGCTCCCCAACTTTCATAAATTACACCTTGGTGCCAGAGACAATGCTGTATGTTCCCCAAGTCCCTGTTCCTGTTCCTTCTGACACACGGCCAGACTAAGTTCCTTGTCCACTACAGCTGGGTGGGGCCACATGAGTTGAGTTCTAACCAACGGAATGTGGGTGGAAACGATGCATTATCACTTTCAGGCCCGGCCCCTAAAATCTCTTGTGAGATCCTCCACGCACTTCCTCCATCCACTTCCTCCATCCACCAGCCAGATAGAGAGGTTCCTGTGGAAAACTCCAAGGCCTCAGATGATGAAGACACACGGAACAAAGCTCCCTGCAGCTCAACCCACAACAGACTGCGATGTGAGTGAGAAACTACCCTTCGTGTGTGAAACCACAGGTATGGGCAGCAGTTTATCACAGCCACTAGGACTGATCACTCCAATGAAGACAGCGTGCCTGTGCCGTGACCTCACTGCAGGGGCATTCCACACTTACCCGTGTCATTGCCGATACAATCAATTATCAGGCAGATTCCCAGCGGCTTGCTCTGCATCCTGTATCTCTCTTCTGGTATGTGCTGGAAAGGAAAGCAGGGATTGTTAAAGACTCTGGACACTGCTGTTTCCACAAGGTCCCACCTATATTCCACGTATTCTTTTGGATTTCCTTAAACATCTCTTTGGCAGATGAGTCATTCAAATAGAAGCTGTCTAAAGTCATCATAGCTGACATTTCCCATTAATACCAAATTTGTCCTCTCTTTGGATAATGTGCTTAAGACAAACAAGCTATTTCAGTTTTTATTTAATTTTAATGAAAATTGCAGTCTCTTTACTTGTGTCTTAGCTTTGCAGGATAAAAATAATTTGAAACAGAGGGAAAAGATGGGTCATATGTTTCCACAGTAACCTGAGGTTGTACAAGTGATATCTTTCCAAACCAGCAAAAAAAGAGGATTTCTACTGCCTCTCCATATGGAGAAGAGGTATCAGCCTAAGAAAAAGCCAGCACAAGTCCAGATTCAGAGTCACTGCTTACTTCTATGTTCACACTCAGCTGAGAAGAAAAGTGCCACTTTGGAATCTTCCTGCATTCACTAATGCAACCCACTCCAACCAGGTTCCCCTTTAGAGGCATTCTCAGAGAACAGCATGCTGAGCATCCCACTGTCACAAAGAATTCTTAATGGGCAGATATTTTCAAAGTAGTCAGTATTCTCCACAGATACTGTGCATACCATACAACAGCAAATCAGGTCGTTTAATCTGTACCTGAGGCAAAAACGCTCCCGATTCCTGAATGGAAGTCTTCACTGGTTCTCCTGGGGGACGAGAGAGAAACCCTTAACAAAGCTGAAGGAGAGGGGCCGGCCCCCATGCTGGCTGAGTTCATGTCACACCTGTTCACCTCCCCTGTTTTCTTTCCCTACTGACTCTTCTTTCCTTGGCTACATTCAGCCCCAAGGTTCCACCCTCACACTGAAAAACCTAACTGACAAGAAAATGCAAGTCCCCCTGCTAAACAGGGGTTACGTAGGATAACTGCTTAAATAGCAAGTAAAAGAAGCCTCTCCGTTGTCCTTCTCCAGGGGAGGACCTGGTGACAGGTCAGTTCTTAGCCTGATTCAGGGATCACACAACCTCCCCACCCAACAATATCAATAGCTTTCCTACACGTGCTGACCCTGGACAATGCCTAACGGAGAGAGCCTGACAGCCCGAAGAGAAGAGAAAGGGAAGGAGAAAGAGTGGGCTTGCCACTGATAGAACAGACGGCCGTGTTTGCTTAGGCCAGGGATATTGGGAGATCATAAAATAAAATGTCAACGGCAAGATAGGGGACAGTGAGCTTAGCAAATGTAGATGGGCCTAAAGCAAATTTTGTTAGATAAAAATGACTTTATTAGCCCTGGGAGCTGGAGAAACCACCAGCTATGAAGCCATAAAAGGCTGGCTCAAGTCCTGGCACCATCACTGACACGCTCTGTGATCTTGGGCAAACTTCTTCCTCAAGTCTCGGGGTTTTTTTTTTTTTTTTAATAATTTTATTTATTTATTTTTCCCCCAAAGCCCCAGTAGATAGTTGTATGTCATAGCTGCACATCCTTCTAGTTGCTGTATGTGGGACGTTGCCTCAGCATGGCTGGACAAGCGCTGCGTCAGTGCGCGCCGGGGATCCGAACCCGGGCCGCCAGCAGTGGAGCACACGCACTTAACCACTAAGCCACGGGGCCGGCCCAGGGTTTTTTTTTTTTTAATCTCTAGGATAAATATACCAATATCTACTTTATAAGACTGCTGCAAAAATGAGAAATAATCTCTAAAGACAGGCAAAGAAAATGTCAGTATTGGTAAGGTTTGGGGGAAATGAGCACTTTCATATGCTAGCACTATATAAGTTGAAACACTCTTTTTAAAGGACAACTAGCAATAGCTTTTAAACCAACATTCTGCCTCTAGAAGTTTATCCTAGGGAAATAATATAACAAGTGTGCAAAAATGTCAACAGTATCTCCTGAACGAAAGGATATAATGGCCCCAAACTAGAAAGAACCTAAGAGTCTACCAGTCTAAGAGTAACATAAACTAGTTAAATAAATTATGGTATGGATAATGGAATATAATGCAATATTAAAAAGGATCAGAGAGATCTTTATGTATTCGACATGAAAAGATATGCAGGATATATTAAGTGAAAATGGATACTGAATAATATATATAATATTGATCCAATGTACTTAAAAATATGTATTTGTGCACATATACTTACACATATATATGCTAAAAAATAAGAGTCTAGAGGTATATAACCAAACATTAGCAGTGGTTTTGTCTGCTACTTGGAATTAAGAGGACATTCAGTTTATCTTTTTCTATTTTAGCAGTCATAGATTGACAGGAAAAAACAGAAAATAATCTATGTACTACGCCTATCTCAGGTTAATGCACTTAGAGCTTAATAAATTGTAGTTCTCATCATCATCACTATCATTCAGCTGAAATCTATTTGGAAGTCCAAATTAAGATGAATACATGGTTTGATTATTTTAAACTTCTATTAGATTAAGGCCAAGTTGGGGCCGGCCCCATGGCGTAGCAGTTAAGTGCGCATGCTCCGCTGTTGGCGGCCCAGGTTCGGATCCCGGGTGCGCACCGACGCACCGCTTGTCAGGCCATGCTGTGGCGGCGTCCCATATAAAGTGGAGGAAGATGGGCACGGATGTTAGCCCAGGGCCAGTCTTCTTCAGCAAAAAGAGGAGGATTGGCATGGATGTTAGCTCAGGGCCAATCTTCCTCACAAAAAAAAAGGCCAAGTTATCAGAATGCTTTTTTCTTTTATTAGCAAATAAACCACGTCCAGGCAGAAACAGGTAACTGGCTCTCCTAAGGTTCCCAGGGGTGCTGGCAGCGTCTTTACCTCCTCACCTGTATAATTACAATCAAGGATAAACCTGCCATCAGGGGGCACAACGGAAAGCACACGGATTGTTTTTAATTCCTATCCAAACCCACCCAGTCTCCTATTTTCCCTTTAAACAGCTTTTGGAATGCTAATTCTTACCACCTCACCAGTGTTTTAAGAAACATGCTGTCACTTCAGGAATTAATTTGCTTCTCAGTAGCTTTTGCTGGAGAGTGAAATTTTAGGCAGAGAATGACAGGCATGAGCTGTGCCATCTGGCTAATTTGGGCAAAATGCTTCTTAGTTTCCAGGGGTACACAGACAGCATGTAGGCTGAGTGAGAAGATTCTGACAAGGGGCCTGCCACAGAGAATGCTTCCATCAGGCCACTGCTGTACTCACAACATGCACGATCCCCACTGCACACAGGACAATCCCAGCTCCTCAGGTTAAGACTGAGCCCTCCGTATCTGCCTCCAGGAGTTCTGAAGACAGTCATCTCCACTGCAGTGAGAGACTGAGTCTCAGCCCTCACTTCGAGGAGGACTCAAGACAAGCAAAGGAATATGCTTTCTAGAAATGATGGGATGGAGTACTGATGTTTTAAGAGAGATGAGAGAGATCGTATGGGTTGAAATTACTGGTTTTTTATTGTATTTTTTTTCTTTCTTTTTAGGGGAGGGAGGATGTCATCTGTAGAGTACCTAGATTTATTAAATGGGCTATAAAACAAGATCCTGGTAACCTTTCTTCATCCAGCTGCTGGATATTTGGCCTCACATGGCTCATCATCATGGCTAGATTAATATTTAACACAGCCTGGTTATAATTCCATTTCAGGTATAAAGGTCATATCTCTTAAAAATATAGCCAATTAGTGGTTAAGTGCGCGCGCTCCGCTACTGGCGGCCCGGGTTCGGATCCCGGGTGGGCACTGACGCACCGCTTGTCCGGCCATGCTGAGGCCGCGTCCCACATACAGCAACTAGAAGGATGTGCAACTATGACATACAACTATCTACTGGGGCTTTGGGGGAAAAAAAAGGAGGAGGATTGGCAATAGATGTTAGCTCAGAGCCAGTCTTCCTCAGCAAAAAGAGGAGGATTAGCATGGATGTTAGCTCAGGGCCGATCTTCCTCACAAAAAAAAAATTAAAAATTAAAAAATTAAAGAAAAATGGCCAACTCTTAAAATACAACATTTTGTACTTAAATCATCAAGCATTTATAAAAAACGAATATAAAGAAAAGCTGGTCTTACTTTGAATGTGATGTTGTTCCACAATGAGTCTCTGTTCCTTGCTTCTCCCATTCTGGAGCTTCAAATATAAAGAATAAGGTCACACTCCCTGTGAGTTTTTCAGAGGCACATCATATTACACCTCTTTAAATATCTCAACAGGATTCTTACCCAGGAAAAAACAAAAATACCGCATTCACAGTTAAATTATCTAAAGAAGAAGAGCAAGCGCCATTAACTCCATAAATCCCATACTCTATAGCCAAAGAACAAGGCAACTCTTCTTTTTAAAAAACGAAAATACAATGAACATGTAAATAAGCTAAACTAGCACATTAGAATGTTTCAGAACAGCTCTGTAAAGTTGGACATTACGCTGGGTTGCTGTCATGGCTCCAAGTTAGGTCGAGCTGAGGGAACATGCGACTGACAGGCAACCTGGTCCTTTAACACAGAGGCACGTGGGTGTGCTTGAGAGTGAGAGCTCTAGCCAGACAAACCTGGCCGTGAATCCTGACTCTGCCACTTACTAGCTATGCAAGTTATTTAACCTCTATATGTCAGTTTCTTTATCTTCAAAATGAAGATAATCATAGTACCTACCTTGCAAATTTTTGTGAAGATTAAATGTCCACAAAGCAGTCAGCACAGTGCCCAGCACATGGAAGTGCTTCATGAATGTCCAAATTGTTTTCCCACAATTGCCTAACTACACCCAAGCCACATATGGCTTGGTTTTGGATAATCGGCTACCACGTCTGAGGGCTAGAGTGGGGTTAATCAGAGAATGAAAGATGGAACCAACCCTTTCTCTTCTCAGATGACAGGTCCTGTGTAAGGTACACATACCACACACTGTCAACCATCTGATACGCTCAGCTTTCAAATGACAGTTCTCCTCTGAAGCTATCCTAGCCAAAAGAGAGAAGTACACTATTCATTAAGCTGTGTCTGTAGCTAAGTCTGGGTGTCTAAATTAAAGAAAAACAGGTAAGTTGCTTTTACCATTAATCATCAGTGACTTAGCCAGAGGCTGATGATATTAGGCAGAATTTGGAACCCCACATGGGTGTGCATTATTCACTTTTACAAACTATTAAAGAGATATAACATTAAATCAAAGCTAGATTTAAAAACCATTATATTGTAGTCATACAACTTTTTTATTCTATAATGTTAGTATCCATGTCATTTAATGCCACTGTAATTTTTAAAGCACTGTTGCAGCGTTGTATGAGTTAACATCCAGATATTCAGCTCCTATATCTTGTAAGAAATTCACTGAATTCATATGCCACAGTGCCTACTTACTAAATGAATCAATGATCAGGGTCACAGAGTAACATAGCAAATTTAAGAAGAAATTTACACACAAAGCATGTGGGTTCCCAATAGGCTACATCGACAGTGAATACAATTACTTTCATTAACAAAATAGAAAGACAGTAGTAAAAATATGGCAGGCTTTTAACAAGAATGACAGTATAATTTGTATTAGATAGGCAACAGCAGAGAAAGCTCAGAAAACCCAGATCTGAATTCTAAATCAGTTTTGTCTCATGATTTGGTATCACAGACATTCAGAAGGACAACAGAAAGCATATTTGATTCTTGAAAAAATGACAGATATATTTATGGCAGGACTAGTATGTAGTTTATTAAACACACCACAGTGTAGAGGAAGGAGCATGGACTGGGCCCAGCTATGGCAGTAGTTAGAGGTGGGTAATCACTAAATGTTCTCTAGGCCTGGGCCGGCCCCGTGGCTTAGCGGTTAAGTGCGTGCGCTTCCCTGCTGGCGGCCCGGGTTCGGATCCCAGGCGCGCACTGAGGCACCGCTTCTCCGGCCATGCTGGGGCCGCGTCCCACATACAGCAGCTAGAAGGATGTGCAACTATGACATACAACTATCTACTGGGGCTTTGGGGGAAAAAAAATAAAAAGTAAAATGTTCTTTAGGCCTAAATTTCCTTATTTGCTCAACTAGGGGGTTAGACAATATAATTCTTAATATCCATTTTAGCTGTGAAATTCTATTTCTCAATGGGATCTCTTACAGCTCATATTCTCCATGAAACTGTTTATATTACAGGAGTAGTTAATGTTTTCATCACGACTTTTATGAAAGTGTTTATAATTGAACCATGAAATTGCACTGTGGTCTAAGTCCTCACTACAAGTGCCACATATCTTTTTATGGGGATTAGGATGAGATTATACTAAGATTAACTTCTCAAGATAAAAAATTAACCAAAAGAACAATTCTGATGATACCCTGCACCATCTACTAACACAACAATCAGAAATGACTGTGTGATATTTAAGTTCACAAATCAATCACTCAATAACACAAACCTTTTGGTGAAATCGTTAAAATAACCTCAATAAAAAGCAAATGCACAGAGAGGTAAATACAAGGACATTTATTTTGAAGCATTATTTGTATTAACAAAAGATTGGAAACAATCTAAATGTACATACACAAGGGCTAAACACGTTGTACATATCTAGAAAATGGAAACATGTTTCACTATTAAAAATAATGATTAAAGAGAGGCAGAGTCCCATATGATTCATATGGAACAATTCCCACGAACTCTCAGATCAGGACAGTGGTCACAATCTGCTACCATTTGTACAAAAGATAAAAACAAAAATGAAATATGATATATGCATAGTCTATCTCTGGATGGTTGGAGAAGAAAATGGTTAACAACAGCTGCCTCTGGGGAAAGGAACTGGGTAGGAGGAAGCATACTTTAAAGATTATTTTAGTCCATTTTGAATTTTTTGTCCATGGGCATGTCCTACATATTTTTATTTAAAAAGCTAAATTTTCAAAGGAACAAATGAACAATGAAAAAAATGTTCAACTGAATATGTAGGTACACAAATAAACACACATAGAAAAAAGAATGGAAGGGAATAACCAAGATAACACCAATGGTTGTCTTTAGGTAGTAGGACAGAGGTGATTTATTTTCCTTTTATATTTTTCTGTATTTTCCAAATAATCTCAATGAACACATATTAGCTTTGTAATCATAAGAAGTTATACATATTTTAAAAACAAATGCACATTTCTATCACAATTTTTCTTAGATATTAAATAAAGTACATGCTGTGAGAATATGTATATTTTTATCCAAGTCCTGAAACTGTTTCACGCTGGGACTCCATACATTGCTCCACTCACCCTTAAGTTATATGAAGGATCCTTAAGACTCAAGTTTGGAAGAGATGCCTGGAGAGCATTTACATAACTTGTTCCCGCTCCTCGAGCTAGAAGAGAGGTACCGAGTTACGATTTACAAATTATTATCAAGTGAATCTTCAATAACGGCTCAATCCAAGATCAATCATCATCTTTCCAAATACCCTAAACTTTCCAGCCACCTTACTGAATTCAAAATATCAGATCAGATGACTCTTCCACCAATGTCATTAAGAATGGACTAAAGGCCGGCCCGGTGGTGTAGCGGTTAAGTGTGCGAGCTCTGCTTTGCGGGCCGGGGTTTGCAGGTTCGGATCCCGGGTGCGCACTGACGCACCACTTGTCAGGCCATGCTGTGGCGGCGTCCCATATAAAGTAGAGGAAGATGGGCACGGATGTTAGCCCAGGGCCAGTCTTCCTCAGCAAAAAG